CGGCCTCGCCCCCCGCGCTGCGGGCGCGACGGCGGGGGCTGCGGGGGCAGCGGAGCCGCCCCGCCGGGCCGTGCCTTCACACGCAGCCCGCCGCAGCAAGTTTGCAGCCGCCGCCGCGGGTGCGGGCGGAGCAGGAGGAGAAAGAGGAGGGTCCGCGGGAGGCACGGGGAGAGACCACCTCCCATTGCGCCCCGCCGCGGGCCATGCTGTCGAGGCCCGGCCTCCGCCCAGCACTGGCAGCCGCGGGCAGGGGCCGGTGCGAGTGAGCGGCGAGCAGCCGCCGCCCCTTTTATAGCGGGCGGCGCGGCTCCGCCGGCACCGAGCAACCGGTGCCGCTCTCGGGCGGGCTGCCCGCCCGCCTGCCCGCGGAGGAGGAGCCGCCGCCGCCTCCCTTGGCCCTCCCTCCGGCACCTACGAGCCGCCCGACGGGGGGGTGGGGGGTTCGGCCCGCTCCGGCCCCGCGCACCGCCCCACCGCCGGCCCCCCGCCCCTGCCCCTGCAGGCGTCGGGAGGAGCCCGAGCTCGTCCCCCGCCCAGGCGGGGAGCAGCCCCTCCTCTTTCAGCCCGACGAGGGATGCCACGGCACGGGCGGATGCAGGTGCTCCTTGGTGCTGCCGTTGTTCCCATCCTGTCGTGCACCGTGCCCGCTACGCCGTGGGGCTGGGCGGTGCCAGGCTCCCCAGGGAGCCCGGCGGGGCTGCGCCCGGTGTGCTGCCCGCCGCCACGTCCCGGCGGCGGTACACGTGCCGCTCGGTGCCGGAGCTCGGCGTGCGGGAGGGGCCGGGGCCGTGCGGGACAGGGGCGCAGCCGGAGCGGGCACGCACCCCGGGACCGCCCGCCCTGCCCGCCGGGAGAGGGGCTGCGCAGCGGGCGAGCCCCGCTGCATTAGAGGTGCGCGGCCCACCGGATCATATCGCCTGCTTTACACTTCTAGTAATCCCGTGTCTTCTGGGCTCAGGCTTTCTTACCCGTTTTTCTCCTTCCTTTTGTATTTTTTCCTTTATTTTTCTGGTGCGCTTGGCGGGGCACGCCCGCGGTTGAGCAGCCTTGATGTGCCCCGCAGGCTCCTCCATTGCTCGGCAGGCGGGGACAGGAGCAGCGGGAGCGCACGTTTGTCCAGGTCCCGCAGCTCCTGCCAGCGTTTGTTCTCAGCAGCCGCAGGAAAGTTTTGCACACAAAGGGAGTGCGAGCTTGCTTTTTGCTGGGTCAGGATAATTCCAAGCTCGGCGAAATGCGTATGCTCCAGCCCAACTAAATCTCCTGAAGATAACACGACAAATTAAGAGGAGTCAAGCGTTTTCAGTCTGCAGGCACGTTTGTGCGCATCTCCGTGTGCTGCTACATGCCTAAGTTCTCTGTAAACTCTCAGCAGTTCCCTCTTGGACATCTCCGCCTGGCTGTTTTCCTCTGTGATGAAAAAGCAATCGGTTTCCCTGTGGCCCCGTCTTTTTTGGGCTATGCTCAGCCCCACACAGGGGCAGGCACTGCGGTGCTCTGCCTGGGACATCAAGCTCATGGGCAGGGTGAGAAACCACTGCGCCCTGTTTGTCGCTCTTCTGCAAGAGGGACTGGCTCACCCGAGAGGATGCAGATCAAGGAGGTACCACAAGAGGAGGCTGGAGAGGATCCATTGTGGCCCAGAGGGACTAGGAAACCAGGAGGAGAAGCATTAGACTGAAGAAGAGCCAGGGCTGCGCAACAGTGTGGGAAAGTCAGAGCCCTGCAGGGACAGCCCCTTCCTCCTTCGGTGCAGGGCAGGGTGCCCTGATCTTGAGATGTGCTAAGACGCACAGGTCTTTTGAGGTAATAATAATAAAAAACAAACAAACAAACAAACAAAAACAAAAAAAACCCCTAAACTAAACAAAAAACCACAAACTGTGGTGGTGCTTGAGATTTGTAAATTCTGTCCCAGATCTTTAGTTAGACTCTCAAGAAATGAGGTGGGGGAAGATTGGATTAAAGAAATGTGGCAGTCAAGGTTTGCCTACATTCACTGAACTGAGAGGAAGATAAAATGTCAATGAGCCCTTCTGTTTTCCCAAAAGGGCATGGGGATAGGGTTTGGTTTGTTTCCATGTTTTTATTTTGTCATGTCTGCTTGCGTTCAAGCAGGCACCACCTCCTTTTGGTGCCCCATAATTGGTTTGAAGCTGTAGACTTTACTGCATTAAAAATAATAATACATAGCTGTCTGCATTCTTCTGATGTCTTTGATAGGCAGAGATTTTATAATCCTGGCTTCTAATACAGTGTGATACTGCTTTCACTTCTGCTCAGCATTTCTGGCTTAATTTAGTTGTGCTTAAGTTGGCAACTGCCCTCAAGCCTGTGTAGCTCAACATTCTTCCCAAATAGGGCTACATATCTGAGAGGAATTTAAATTTAAAACACCAATAATAACAACAGGAAAACCGGAGCCCTTCATTCAGTTTTGGAACAGCTTGCCTCTTGTGCAAAGGATCTTCTGATAAAATTATAAAACCTCCAAGGGCAATGTTTTAGCCCACTGCCATCAGCCATGGTGTGTAGTGTAGACAAGTATTATGTGAATGGGTAATGAGTTCTGGCCACTCTACTAATGTCACTGTTTATCCTCATTCTAAAATATTTGTTTTCTATGCACTGCTTTTGCTGTTGCCCTTCTCCATTAATTCTGGGTCATTATTCATCAGTAATCATTGTTCATTGCTTCCCTCTTTGTCTTGCCAAGAAGATGATATTTTTCCTCCCTCATTTGTTTTCTTCTGTTGTGCTTTCTGGTTTCTCACTTGTTTCTGTAGCACTGGTCCAAGTGGTCAGCAAAATGTTCACCCAGCATGACAGATCTAACTGTGGTGACCTCAGCTCACCTGACTTTCTATAAGGACCACCTGGTCTTCCTGGGCAGGCTCCGTAAACATTCCCCATACTTCCCTCTGAGGCTTCAGACTTGGGTTATGAAGAGCTACAGGAAGAAAGTAAAGCCAGCTTCCTAACAGTGGTCTGTGTCATGGTGCTGCACGTCACTGCTGGAGTGGCATGAAGAAAACATGTCCCACCCAGGCACTGGAACTGCTGCTTTCTTCAGGCTGTGCGTGCTGCTTCCAAGGATTTGTGTCACAACAAGGGGTGCTCAGGTTTTAGAAGACTGCTCTTCCTCTCTGCTCTGCCAGGCTGCACATAGCCCCCTGTCACAACTGGACTCCCAAGGGCCAAGGCTTGATGAAAGCACCAGATTGTACCTAGTTCATCAATAAGTGCTGGAGTCTTGGAGTGCCAGTCAGACACGTATTGTGTATCATATGTATTGTCACATGAACGATCATATCTCACTGCTGGGCTGTCGCCCAGAAGCTTGCATTTCATTGTTTATTTTCTCCTCTCCTAACTGGATCTGAAAAGATGCTTATGAGAAGAGATCTTATTTCCTGAAGCTTTTGGCTTCTGTGCAGAGGCAGGCATAAAATTAATTTCTTTCTGCTGGCATAAGACTGTTAATACTTCTTATATCCAGATTCTGATGTACTAAAATATCCAAATATAGAAGCTGCAATGAAAACTGAGCCTATTATTGGTTTATTGCTTCACAGACTGCCCATGTATGGCGTAAATATCTTATAAATAAATTAGAGAGAGAAGACAGACACACAAAAACAAACCTAAGTACAGAAAAGTCCTCATTCTACAGTCAGATCTGTCCTGGCCATGGATAATGTTGTGCGGGTTTTGGCTTTTGCATCTTAGGTATATTTGGACATGGAGCTCAGGGCACAATATAAACTTCACCTCTGCTCTTGACTCAGCTGGTAAGTTGTGTGTAATGGCATCTGTAGCCTCCTGCACTGTGATGAGATTCATACTCATATTTTAAATAATGAAATTCTGAGTCCTTCTGTTAGCAAAGATAACCTTCGCGATGTAAATCAACACAGTGGTATTTTGTTGAGTTTGCCAACAGGCAAATAACACTAATGTCTGTGTGAAGTTTCTCAGTGTTAACTTTGAAATACAGCTAAGGCCATTTAAATGCCATCACTTTTAAGTCACTAGTCAAAATAAAATCACCCAGCTTGAGTTACTGAAATTTAATTATAAGGAACAGCTGGGCCTAGTTTCGATTTTTACTCTAAGGACCCAGACAAAGAAACAAGTACATGGGCTCAGAAGGCACAAATACACACTGAGTTTCTCAATCCATACTGGTCAGGCACAGTTGCTGAAAAATGCACTCAGATTCCCTCCAAAGATCATTCAATTACCCTGAGTAGGCAAGTGAGGTCAAGCAAAAACAACCCCTCCAGTCCTCCCTTACAGCATCTCTAGCAGTTATTCTCCATTCACACATTTCAGTTCATGGAGGTAGAACTTGAGGTTGGTGTCTGTTCCTCATTAATCCACAAGGAATTTGATTTTTATCGATGCTCCTGGAGAAACTCCACAAGAAACCATTTCAATCCTGCCCCGTTTCCTCTCCTTGCACGCTGGCCATAATTCTCCTGCTTTGTCACAAATCAGAAGAATTGACTGCTTGTGTGAAAAGGGCTGTGGTTTCAGTCTGAGGCTGCTGGAGCCTCTCTAATTCACACTAAAATCAGTGCAAAAGCCTGTTTTGGTGCCAGAGGATGTGGCTCAATGATCATCCCTCCAGTTCAAGCTGTCTCCAGTTATAAACCTGAAGGGTTTTAACCTACCTGCTGTACTATGGGTGGATTATAACCTGCTATAAAATTCATTCATATCCATTGGGGAATGATCTGTGGAAAATAGCCATGACAGTATGACATAAAGGTACAGATGTCTAGGAATAAAAGTCAATGGCATAACCTTTAGCACCTGTTCAGCATTAAGGGAAAGTACAATGCATTTAGGCTTTGTACAGATTCAGATAAAAAAGGTCTAATTTTCTCATCTGCTCAGATCTGGCAGAAAATAAATTCTCTGCTTTCAGATATGGACCTATGTCAGTTTTAAAGCATTGTCCTACTTCAGGGTGTTCCAGTCTTTCTGTCTGATTTAGAGAATGGAATCTCTAAAGGGCTCCTTTCAGGATCCAGAGTTGATTTCAAAGGGTCCCAAATATCAAGTTTTCAGAAAGGAAACACTGAGATTTTGTTTAAAAAAAATCTGCAGACATTTTAAAGCATCAAGCTACTAATGCATAAAGCTTTGTGGAAACTTGTGAAATGCAGCAAACCACTGCAAAGAAGTAAAGCTGCAGAAAATTAAGAATCAAATATTTTCCTTATGAAATTATCATGTCAGCATTGATTTAAGGGGAGCTACAAAGATTCCTTCCTATTAGAGATCTGCTTCTTCTGCATGGCTAATTAATATTTATCTAGGAAAGAAGGTAACATATGCTAAGCCCACTGCCACTATTTATAAGCATGCTCTAGTCTTTGTTCCCGGAGGTAATCAGAAGCTAGGAGCTTTTGCTGGCATGCAGATTTGGGCTGCTAATTTAATAAAATACATCAACCATTAATTTGAGTACTTTTAGGATGTTTACTAGTTGATAGTTTCTTTTGCAGTATGAGACTTAATTGCAAAATATAGTGGTCTCTTCTGCTTAGCAAGAGGCTTATGGAGAGATGCTTCTTAGAACCATCTGAAATTCAGGAACAGAAGTAGTTCTGAAGGCTACAAAGGTCTTGTAGGTCTACTTTCATCAGCAGATTAGTGTAGCAGGACTAAAGCAGTAGTGAATGATTGTAGTATCCAAATAGCAGAGCTTTGCAATGTTAAGAGGCCCTTTGAGAGATTCAGGGTATGTACAGTTATTCTCAGCAGCACTTTGCTGAGAGCACAGCAGAAGATCTCATTGTGGTCACAAGGGACAGTTTCTGCAAACCAATTAAATCCAACATAATCTGATCTTGGAGAGAGGCTGTTATGAAACTGATGGTCTGTCTGCATGTTGCAAAGTGTGAAATCCATGAGTGAAGTGAATCTACTAAAATAAAAAAATTGAGTCAGCAAAGGCCATCAGTATCCACGAGAGCTCTATGGGTAGCTCTTTAGGGAAAAAAACAAAGGCCCAGAAGAGGTACATACATAAAATTATGCCACTTGAGGCTTCTTCCAAACTCAAGGTATTCATGTATCCCACTGCTTGGAAGCAGAATGTGTGTCATTTGGCTTTTCTCAAAGTAACCAAGTAGAACTACAGAGCCAGATCAGCAGCCTGGATCAGCATTGTCCCAACTGTACACCTTTTTATATTTCTTTTCTTATTTCCCAATATTTTCATTATCCAAAGATTGTTTAACTGACCATCCTAATAGAAGCTGTGAAAGTGCATGTCTTTATGTCTTGTGTTTAGGGTTATTTATTGGGGAAGGGAATACTTAACTGTAAAAAATAGATGGGATTTTTATCATATTTAAAAGGGAATGTCTTAATTCTCATTACAGGAAGAAGTCAGTTTTAAAGGATTCAGATCTCAGGTAGAACA